TTTTTTTTTTTTTTTTTTTTTTTTTACAACATGGATTTGTTATTAAAGCATAAATAACGTTTTTGGGCATATTATTAGAAACAGAAGTGGGTAGAATGGCAGTCGGCATGAAACCAATTACTGAAATAAGCGGGGAGTTTAGTGGCCCGACAGTTGTCAATAGTTGGTCAGAAACAACTGGACTAAACAATATATTTTCTATTTTACAATATTTAAATTCTATGTATTGCCGCTGTATTGTTATTTCCGCGTAAATGCCTAGTAGCCGCAGCTGTATCACTTCTAGCTTCCTCAACCGGCTGCCGCCCGCCTCAACAGAGGCCACACATGGTACGTGTTACTTTTTTCATCGCTTCCAAAAGTAGACTAATCACAGTCACGTCTGTTGACAGGGATGTGTGTTTTTTTATTTTTATTTTTATTTTTTTTATTGCAGTAAACAACAAGGATTACAGTACGTACAAAACAAACAGTAAAAAACAGTAGCCTACGTACAAAACATACAAAATACCAATCAATAATAAACTACTTGAGGATTAATAGATAAAACATCACAGAAAAAAACAATATAATATAAAAATTGACAGGGATGTGTGGTTCTCTGAGATGCCAAGCGCAAATTTGGAGACAGTCCCCTACATACTGCCGAAAGGTTTGATACAACCAAAAATTGCACCAAAAACAATGGCATATTCTCGGTGTAATATTCAGAGAGACCTTTTGAAAATAGAGCACTGATTTCAGATTATGTTATTTCAGCTGTGATAAGTACATCTAAAGGCTTTCATTTAGTGTCTGTGACACAGTTCACTCAGACCTACTTCTGCTGCCAGCTGTTTAACACAGCACAGTTACATAAGAACTCCTGGAATTAAGATTTGCTCTATTTTCATTTGTGTTGCTTATTTTGCTTTGAATACCATTTTATGAGGAACTAAGAGGTCAGTCTTCAAACATTGCAGCTCTGCATTTTACGAACATCCTCTGCGATTGTCAGATACAAAATGAAGCAAAACATCAGAATGCTTTTGAAGTCTCAAGCAGTTAACTGTGAATCTTTTAGAGTAGACTCATGCTTGTCCCTTGGACAGTCTCGTTTTATGGCGTGGGAGGTGCAGACCTTGTTGTGCAAATTCCAGATGACTCACTTACACCTACTTTTCTTCTTAAAGGTTGCAGGATTTCAAGGCTGTTGTTCCATTCACTCAGTTTCATTCAATCAGAGATACATAAAAATCACACTTGCTCATGATTGGATCTTCTGCAGTGAACGGGTGACATCAGAATGGGAGTTCAACCAGTCCAAACGTCTTGTGAAGCGAAAAGCTGTGTGTTTGTAATAAGGCATTTTGAACTTAAATCCATTGCTTCCGGCTAAGATATGAGTCCTCTAACCATAATATTGCTTTCTCCAGTGAAAAAGTCATCTTGTGTGAATCAGGAGAGAAATATGCACAGATCAAGCACCATTTACAAGCAACACAGTCCAAAACAATATGTTGGTGGATTTTGGTGAGAGAGGACCACTCTCAAAATGGAATTTTGTTACTGGAGGATGCATTATTATGAATTATGGACTCTTATTTTGACCAGAAGCAATGGTTTAAAGTTAAAGCCCCTTAATGATGGATTCGTTTCATACAAACACACAGCATTTCACTTTACAATATGTTAATTGAAGGACTGGAGTCATGTTGTGGATTATTGCTATGTTTTTATCAGCTGTTTGAACTTTCATTCTGGCAGCACCCATTCACTGCAGAGGATCCATTGGTAGGTGGTGAGGTAATGCTAAATTTCTCCACATCTGTTCCAATGAAGTAACAAACTCAACTATATCTTGGGTGTCCTGATGGTGAGTACATTTTAACCAAATTTTCATTTTTGGGTAAACTATTCCTTTAAAAGTATTACCTTCCTCTATTAGATCATTTGCACGTCTTGGTCACACAGAGATACACAGACATCAAATTAACAAAGAATTCAACATGATAAAATAATATTTATTAAAAGAAAGTTTTAAGGGAACACAAAAAGTGGTTATTTATTGGCTCAAATCTACACAAAACGTTCTTCATTAATAAACATGTCCTGTTCTTTTTCAACTCTTATGAACAAATACCATTCAAGTGAAAGAAAACAGATGCACTTGTGTTTAATATCACATTGAACTAAAGTGTATTAACTTATTAGTAATGTATTCATTAAAAAAGTTATAACAAAAATATTTGCAAAGAAAACTCACAAAACTAGAACTAGTATTGCTTATGTAATTTAGCAGACGGAGCGCACAAACATTACAATTCATAAAAAGCAAGTATGATGTATCACAACTTGCATTGTTGGAACTTTATATTTCCTTTCCTTTCTTTTTCTTTTTCAATCATCAACCAAGAGAAAAATATCTTGGAGAAGCCCTTTCAAACAAAAGCTTACACTGAACATAAATAAAAGAGGATTGTTTTGGCTTAAAAGAGTCCATCCAGTGTCCCATTTCAGGTTTTTAAAGTAAAATAGTAAAATAATGTGCCTCCCCCTCCAAAAAAAAAAAAAAAACCCAAAAAAGTA